TCTTTGACAAAGGAGCCAAACACCCTCACTGGAGGAAAGATAGCCTCTTTAATAAATGGTGCTGGAAAAATTGAGTTTCAACTTGCCAAAGATTAAAACTAGACCAAATCTTTCACCATGCACTAAACTAAAATTGAAATGGATCAAAGATCTAAAAATTAAAATAGAAACACTAAACTTGCTCGAAATAGGCTAGGTAGAACTCTTGAAGACATTGGTTTAGGAAAAGACTTTATGAACAAAGCCTCAGTTGCATAGGAACTAGCACAAAGAACCAACAACTGGGATCTCATCTTATTAAAAAAACTTCTGTACAGCAAGAGAAACCACCAACAGAGTGAAGAGACAACCCACAATGTGGGAAAAATGTTTACCAGCTGTTCCTCAGACAAAGGTCTACTATCTAGCATATATAAAGAACTTTAAAAAATCAGACCCTCCAAATTTAAAGATCCAATCCAAGAATGGACACCTTAAATGGACAGATATTTCTCAGATGAAAAAGTAGAAGCAGTAAATAAACATACAAAAAAAATGTTCGATATCACTGGTCACTCGAGAAATGAAAATGAAAACAATGCTGAGATTCCACCTCACTCCAGAAAGAATGGTGGCTATCAAGAAATCAACCAATAACAAATGCTGGGAGGGTTGTGTGGAAAGAGGAACCCTGCTCCACTGCTGGTGGGAGTGTAGACAGGTGCAATCACTGTGGAAATCAGCAGGGAGATTCCTCAAATAACTAGGATTAGAGGTCCCATTTGACCCAGCTATTCCCTTGCTGGGTATCTTCCCAAAAGAATTAAAAGCCATCATACCATAGCCATATATGCACACCCAAGTTTATAGGAGCAGTTTGTAATATGTATGTATGTTGTAAAATAAAAATTATGCTTTGTATCTTTACCTCAAGGAAAATACTAAAAGTAAAATGTTAACCAAACCTTCAAGTATAATTAGCACATTAAGAAGTGCAACAAACACCCCTCTCCAGGGCTTTCAGTGTATTCCTTGATGACCTAAGGAACACTTGGGATACTTGTACCCCAATAAAAGAGGCACCATGGCTCACAATGATGCTTTTCCATAACAGAGGAACAAAGTGTGATTTCCCTAAGAGTTTCTTCCTCCAACCTCCACAAGGAAACATGTCTTTCAAATCTTTATTTACCCAACCCACATTTCTAGCCTGTCATGACTTAACTTCCTTACACAGTAGTTGAGCCTTCAACCTTTATCTGTTACTAGCTGAGATAAAGAACCAGCATCCAACATCTTGGTAAAGGGTTTATTTCATGTGACTGCAAACACTTCATTTAGAAACTAGCTTTGGATACAATCTGTTTAACACTGACCCTAATAAACATGGAAATTACTCATATTCTCTAAATATATCAGAGGACATGGTGTTTTGTTGGAAGGAGCTGCTTATAAAAAAAATCTGTTTCCAAGACAGCTGCTTTATTCAAATTAATGGTGGTTATCTTGCTGCAACAATTAACTCTAAGCCATAGATCTTACTATTTGCTTCTGATAAAATGCTGTCCAGTTGAGGAGACAAATATTTCTTTGTTTTAAAATTCACTAAACAGAGAAATACAGATATCAAAATTGTGGCTGGAGGTGCATCTGAAGAAGGTAAGGCCTCAAGATAAAGTCACAATGGCCAGACTTGCATACTTCCCTGAGGGATAAGAATTATAATTAGTACCCCCCAGTCTATTAAGTCCAAATATGCATCAGACACCTGGGTAGGTGACCAGAACACCTGGGCCCATTCCTTCCCCAAAATGTTCCTGTTTTAGGGCTCATAGATAAGACAAAGTTAATGATGCTAGCCATATACCCTTACTAAGAGCCCTGATTTCCTATTGGATTAATATTAGCTAAGCGGCTGTACTTACAATCTTATTGGCTGATTATAGTTTGACCTACATTGTGCTCACATTGTGACTTTGCTGTAAATTACTACTGACAAAGGGCATCGATGTCAACCCATTCCAGATCCCTCCTGTCTCTCAGGAGTTATTCCTATTCCACAATAAACCTTTCCTACTCTTAAAAAAAATTAAAATAAAATTCACTACACAAAATGTGTAAAGGTGAATATTCATTTGGTCATCTCTCCTTTTTATATCATATATATTATTCATAAAATTCACCTCAGTATTTTATAAGTATAAAATGAATAAGAACTTGGAAATTATTTTCAAGTTGCTGTATAAGCTATAAATGTCAGAATATACAAAGAACTTACATGTCAAAGATAGGATGAAAAAAAGTAAGTCTTCCCGACCACCTGTTATTCATGAGGACCTTGCCTAGTTAGTTGTCTTCATAATAATTATCATAATGTGAAATGATCTTATTTGCTTACCTGCTTGTTTTTTTTCTCCCTCATTTCCACTCACCTAATAAAAAGATAACTTTCAGAAGCAAGTGCAAGAGTTTGGATCTGTCTTTTTCAATTGCTGTATCTTCAGTCATTTTCTCTTTTTCAGTTTTCAGTTTTTATTAGTACATGTTTGCAGGACACACCAATTACATTCCTCAAGGGGAGTTGGTCTGTGTACACAACAAATCTTAATTCTGTTCTTCATCACCTCCCTCTTCCTACCCTCCCTCTCTCTCCATCTCTTGGTCCCCTTCCCTTTTGCAAAAGAACTATCTCCCTATTTTTTATTATCTGTCATTTAATTCGCTCTTTATTTATATTTTGGGTTTCTCATATAAGAGAAACCATATGATATTTAAGCTTGTGTGTCTGCTTTATTTCATTTCAGATTATGGTCTCAAGGTGCACCCATTTCCCTACAAATGACCCAAGTTTATACTTCATTATTCTTCACTCACTTTCTTTCTTCATGGTTCATAATAGATGTTCACCAAATATTTCTGAATAAGTGAATGAATCAAAAGTAAGGCCCTTCCTACCTCTTTCACTGTAAGAATGAAGCCTCTCCATTCTTCCCCACTTTCTGTGTTCTCTGTCTATAGATGAAAACAAAAACAGATGAAGAAAACATAGTGACTATGAATATTAATATTTTTATTAACTTCAAATAACTTTAGAATTTCATGATTATTTTATGACAAGATATGTAAGCCATCAAAACCCAGCAAAATTGATAAAATACATATTCTTCTATTGAAGCATGCTGTTTAAAAATCAGTTGCAATTTTTAAAATCACTTAGGATCACATGAAATGAAGACATACTTCATTTTCTTCTTTGCTTAGAACTAGTAAAATTAATTTGTTATGAAATATTTCAATATTATTTTTCTTTCATGGGAAATAGAAATGTACACCTTTAGTCTGTTTGCTTATTAAATAGGTAAAACTGTGCAAATTTATACTTAAAATTAAATGTTAACAAACTTATTTCTGTAGTATGTTAGTTAATGGTTCCCCTCTCCATTGGTATTTAACATTGACCAACTTGAAGTTGGCTCAACCAGTGTAGGTAGGAACTTCCAGTTCTTAGCTCTAAAATACCACTGCTGTTACTACTGTTAATAATAATATCTACAAACATACATGAGTGCTTATAAGGTCAACTACTGTTCTAAGCCTTCACAGATATTTATTTACTCTTGTTAAGTAAACATTATTAGGCAACTATTGTTTAGAGTAGGCTCCTGCACTGAGCTACCACAGTCAGACTAGAAGTCAAAATGGAGACACTCATGCTAAAGCTCCACATCACTAAGCCAAAACTGAGTTATTATGTGACCTTCCTGAGAAATGAGAAAAATAACAGCCAACTTTGCCTCACAGGCCAATTTTACTTGGCATACTAAATGAAGTTCCTTCTCCCTTAATTCTTGCACAAAAAAAGGTAACCTGGAGGAACCTGAAATAAATATCTAGTTATTTTTCTATTGCTTGTCTATCTCTGCCTTACTAGGCAAATAACTTTGAAATGACCAACTCGCTTTTTATTCTTTGTTTCTGTTTTTTCCCCCTTTCTGTCAATGAGCTTGATCCCTTCTGTTCAGCCCATTAGAACGCTTATTCTGTTTTGGGGAATGAACTACAGTATTGCCCACTTCTAGAATAGAAAAAAAAAGCCAATTAAGATCTTTCAAGAAAATTGTTATAATTTTGTCCTTTGACAACTTTCATGGTAAATCAGCAAAAGTTTCTTTATTATTTTACAGATTTGTTTTTCATTTGAAATATATTTATTGAGTATCTTTAAATGGTACACACTAATTTAGGTATTGGTTTACATCAGGGAACGAAACAAATATCTTTGTTTTCATGGCGTTTAAGGTCTAGCAAGGAACAGTAAATAATAAACATAATGGTACATTTGATAGTATCAGAAGAAAATAAATGGGAAAAACAAAATGTAGATTAGGGTAAGACTGACTGGTAGTATGTTTAGGGAGTAAAGGAGGGGAAAGGATGCAGTTTTAATCAAGTGGGGGCCAGGGATTTAGCTCAGAGGTTCTGCCACCTGCCTCGCAAGCGCAAGGTCCCAAGCTCATTCCCTGGTACCAAAAATAAATAAATAAATAAATAAATAAATAAATAAATAAATAAAGTAGTCCTCAGTGAGAGATTTAAACCCAGACTTACTTCTGGGTGAAACAAAGCCATAAAAAGTTGAGTAACTTGCCTACAATCACACAGCTAATGCATAAGGTTTAAATCTGGTGTCTGACTCCAAGCCTGTGCTCTTAACTGGTATCACCACAAGTCATCTGGAACATTTTCTTAAAATGTAGACTCTGGGTCCCAAGAATTCAACTTAGAATTGAATTGTTCAATTCAAGGACAACTTTTTAACAAATACCAGGTGTGATTCCTGACTTTGTCAGAAGATAGAGTATAAGGTTTCATTATGCTTGTATACTAAATAAATGAACATGTTCTTCTAAAATCCATTTCCAAAAACTAGTCCTTGTTAATTAAAGGGCAAGAGATATTAACAAAGTATAAGATTTAACCCCTCCTATAATTTATTTTTATTTCAGCTATTGAATATTAAGAAGTAAATGCATTTTATAAGTGCAACTCTTTACAGACTCCTGTTCGCACTCACCTTCAGACACACTTCCTCTTTTGGCAAAACAAGGGTGAAGTTTGCACAAGTCTTTTCAGCTGAATTCTGTTCAGTAAGGCGTATAAGGTCTAGTATGTCTAATTTGTCAACATACTACAAAGATAAAGAAAAATCCCATTAAATTATTTCATGGATGGTACACATTTGTTCTAGCGGGAAGGAAAAATAATGTTTTCTTTTCAACTGTTTCACACTTTGCATGAAACCCTAGCTTTCCCAATCCCAAATGGTATTTGGAAATGCATTAGGTTTTGGTGTTGAACCTGATTCACACAAGCTTGTGAAAGCCAACTGTTAAATTTCATAAATTTTGCAAATGAGTTGTAGAACTCAGCCATAATTCAAAATTAAATTATATAAACATTCCAGCAAGAATTAAAGACATTACATTGCAATGATACGTGCATGTTGATAGCAACACAATTCATAATAGTCAAATCTTGGAAACAGCCTATATGGTCATCAACAGATAAATGGATAAAGAAAATGTGGTATTTACGCACAATGCCATACTAATCTGCCATAAAGAAAGACAAACGAGTCATTTGTGGGAAAATGGATGCACTTTGAGACTACAATGTTAAGTGTAATAAATCATATACTCAAGCTTAAATATTGCATAATTTATCTTACATGAGAAACCCCAGTATAAATAAAGAGCAAAATTAAAGAGATAATAGGAAGTGGGGAGACAGATGTTGCTCAGATGGGAAGGGGACCAAAAGATGGGTGGAGGGTGGAGGGAGGAGAGGGACAGGGGATGAAAAAGGAATTAATATTTTTATACACATGTTCAATCCCACACAAGGAATGTAAACATTATGTACTGAAAACATGTGCTAATGAAATTTTTAAAAATGAAAATTATAATTAAAACTCAAATTATTACTTTCTAATTATGTCACTACATTTTACTATTCTCTATGTGTTTGAGGTTATTTATATCTTTGTACTACATGGTGAAAATATTATATAATAATGTTGCTACAGTTCTTTTCTTCTAAACTCCATGTTCAGTAAGGTCATATTGATAAGTTGAAATGAGCCAATGAAGGAGAGTTTACACTATAGAAAACAATGAGCCAGGGATTTAGCTCAGTGGTTCCTCCACCTGCCTTCTAAGCACAAGGTCCCCAGTTCGATCCCCAGTACCAAAAAAAAAAGAAAGAAAGAAAATAATGGTATGCCTGTTACAAATCAGGTTTTGATTTGTTGTTTTGTTTATTGTCCCAGAGCAGCCCTTTTTTTCTGCAAAAGATGGAGAAATAATATTAATATAATAATTATTATTTCTCCAAATAATAATTACTTTAGGCATATATACAATCTTTATTACAGATTCTTTGTTTTTGTTTTTCTTTAGAACACTTTAAAAATGTAAAAAAAAAATAGATGCTTAGCTCCAAGACTATTAAATCAAGCCACAGGCTAGATGTGGACCAAAGCCCACTGATTGCTGGCCACCAGACTAGACTGCAGAAAATAAAAGGCAAAATGTTAATAATGAAGCTGAAATTTCAAAGTTTATTGTGTCTTAAGTTGTTTCACTATAAATAGCAAAAAAAATCAATAAAATATTCTTTCAGAATTAAAAAATACATAATTCATCAGCAAAATTGAGTCAGCAAGAATCAAGGAAAGGCTGAGGATTTAACTCAGTGATTCTGCTGCCTGCCTCACAAGCACAAGGTCCTCAGTTCAATCCCCGGTACCAAAAAAATAAAACAAAATAAAATAAAGGAAAGCATTTGGGAATCAATTGGCCATATGGAAGTCTCACTAAGGATATTGTGAAATTTTAAATTTTGTGCTGTGTTTTTTTATCATTAATATTCATTATAAGTTTATGTGCATATATTCACATGTACATTTGGAAATGGAAAGAGGGCTTTAATTTAAATTAAGCACTAAGCACAATTTTTTTGATGGCCTGTCTGATCTAGCTCAGTGAGTTTTGCTGCAACAAAGAGGAAGTAACAGTGAAAGAAGTGGCAGAGTTAGATAGAATGTGTGGGCTGATCATTGATTAGAGAAAAGGAAGTCATATCTTTTGTTTTTAATTGGAGTGTTGGAAGGAACCTTAAAGTCATCTGTCTAACCCAAGTGCTGCCTAACCGTGAATGTGTTTCAGGATATCCCTCCCTGCAGTCCTTCCGCCAGCGGCTGGACGCTCCTAACAGCACAGCCCCTGTGGAGCTCTGTCTACTAGTAAGTGTTCTCTTAAATTGAGTCAGTTTTTCTCCCAGTAATCTCCATCCACTGGCCCTACTTCCTTTTCTCTAGAATAACACTAAACAGATTCTGTGACTCTTTCACGTGACTTCCTGACAGCCTTTCAGATACATAAAAGAAGTTTTATATTCTTCCTTGCTTTAAGTTAATAAATACATGCAGCTCTCACCTGGTCTGTCCCAGCAATTTCTCCAGAGAGTATCACCTCAAAATCTTCCTTAAAGGTCTGCATCATCTTTTATCAAAATTGATCGGTGGGCAATATGCAGCACTTCATTATAACAAACTCTTCATGATATAATGGTTAAGAAAGCTGGCTCACAAGAAAGACCTGGATCATTCCCCTTTTATTAGCTGTCTGATCTGCACAATTTTTTAATCTTTCACCTTGACTTTTCTCCTCAAAAAGTGGGGATTAAAATAGTACCCCTCTGGAGAGTTGGTGTGAGAATTCAATAGATAACACTTGTAAAATTCTAAAATGCTTACTGTGTGCTAGCTACTATTTTAGATCCTATCTCATTTAATTCTTTTGATAGCCTTATGAAATCAGCTGAGTTCTTCTGAAGTTTAGAGATTTGAAAATGAAGAGTATTGGAGATCTCTGCCTCTCTTTGTGTGGTTTGTTCCTCCAGATTCACATTTATCCTTTTGGCACCCAATTCTCTGCATCCAGGAGAGGGACCTAGACTGACAACACCAAAGGCCTTCCTCACCCTTTGAGTTCCTGTTGGGTTGGACTGGAGAACATTGGCAGATGGGGTAGGGGGAGTGAGTTTGTCTATTTAATACCCTCTGTAGTTCATCTCTTAATTGAAGATCATACCTCTCTCAAGAATGATCTGTACCTCTCTTTCACTCCTAGGTGTGCTATAATATGGCAGTATTATTAATCTCAGGGTTTTATACTAGCCTTTGTGAGCCTATACTCTGTCCATTGCTTTGAGTATTTATTAAAACTTTATTAAACTCTTCAGATTGCCCAATCTGAAATGCTGTCTGTCCTCTATCAGTTTTCTCATTGATACATTGAGATACTGAAAAGTTAGCTAATTAGGCTAAGATTCCACAGTTAACAGTGACAAGACCATCATAAAACCCCAGGTAATCTGTATGAACACACCAGACTCTCAATCATCAAGCTATACTGCCTCACAACATGTAGTAAGTGAGCAATGATTGTTAGCTCTGTCATTTACTCTGCATTGTACAAAGTTTAGACGAGGTCTTTTGATGGATTGACGTCCGTGAGAAGTTGGAATGTACAATAGAGAACTTCATTTTTAAAAAAATTTATTATGATATTTAAAAACACCCTTGTATACAGTCTTTCTATTCAGAACTCTGGTGAAAGATGTCCACTTCAAGTTTGTTTTTTGTTTTTGTTGTTTTTAGTAGTTTCTGGCTAATTCACCATTAACGGTGCTGAAATGCCTGTAGGTGGGATATATTACACAGGCTCTATTTCTCTTTCTTTCATTTGATCTGGGGATGATAGTTCTAATAATGATGTTCTAAGAAGTATGGGCTATTCTATTCATGATCTAGAATGTTTATATTTTTAAAAGTTAATGACTTCTTATCATATTCCAAGGTAGGCAGACTTTTGTGCTACAATATCTTATTCGTGGGAAAAATAAAGCACAGAATCAAACTTTGAAATAAAGCAAATCTCAGAATCCCTTTGTTGTTATTCTTTTTCTTTATGGGGTATGTTTTTGTTTTTCAGAAAAATTAAGTTCTGATATTGTATGTTATGTTCTAGGGATCATCTTTTTCCTTTCAGGTTATAATTAAAAACAAGAGCAACATATGTAAGGAAAATTGAACCTATCACTTGGTATTAAGCAATTTATATCCAGATATATAAAATTTCTACTTATTAACTAAGTTCTAATTATCAAAATCAGAAATAAAAGAATGCCAAGTTTAAAATGAGTTAATATCTTTTTCTGATTTGCTCAGGAAATTTTTCCATTGGTTTTATCATAATTGACAGTCCTCCCAGATTTAAATTTTGTTCACTTGAATTGATTTTACTAGTGCATCTTTATTTTTTATTGGCAGAAACCCCACAGCAAATAAAAGACTATGTAATAAGGGTACATAGGGAAAAATTAAATCAGCTCAACATATTTTACTACTTACTATTGTACTTTTTTTGTCAGTATAAAAGAAAAGTGTAGTTCCTCTCAACTCTGTCCAATAATGTTTATATTCCTGTGGGAAAACAATTATAAACATCATCCCATTAGTGTATATCCAACTATTTTCTTTTTGATATTGTACTTTTTAACTTTCTTAATTACTTGTATGAGCTTCTTCTTTATCCTGATAATTCATCTACTTTTTTAATGGCTTTACATATAATTCTTGATTGAATCCTTCTCAAATTTTAGTATAATTTTGAGGTAAGAATATAATTTAGTTTGTGTTTAATTTAGTTTAAGTCAATCATTTTCCAAAATCTCCTATGGTTTAAGACTTTTTACCCAGTTTCAGTAGACGCTTGCACATGACAGAGGGGTCACTGAAAAGCCTCGCTTAGGACCAGGGTACGGTATCTTCTTGCTAGGACAGATGGAAGAATGAGTGAATTCATGTATATAATGCACTCAGCAGACTACATAGCTCGTTGTTTGGTTCAACAAATAGTATATATTATTGGTAGAGATCAAGGAAATGTGAAAAAGTGATAGTGATTTTTTGGGGGGGCACTGTGGATTGAACACATGTCCTCAAGTATTCTAGTCAAGCACTTTACTACAATGAAAATAATGTAATACCCAATGTCACACTATCAAAGCTGAACTTTGAAGACCAAATTTCATTCATGTGCTAATATTTAATTATTAATACATTCACATTACTGTGAGTTCTATAAAAATTAAATAATTGAATTTTACAAATTTAAATGACTGAGTTAGACCGTCATTTCACTCCAGTGAAAGTCTATTTGAATAAATATGATTGGATATATTATGAAAGAATAGCAAATAAGTTTAAACAATAAAATCCTTTTATATCTGAAGACTTACCTTCATACCTAGCTCTTTCTAAAAGTATGTTTTAATAAAAATTCCAGTGAATTTAGTAGATATGTTGATCATTTTTTCCCTTAGGGTTTAATAAATTGAAGTTTTGCAATTTGCTGAATCATTAATTAATATAAGAAAGTCACAAAAACATTTTTCTCCTTTTTTTGTATATGTAAAAACACTTTCCATTATGGTATTTTGTGTCTCCTCAACCACAACATATCATTTATCCTTTTTTTTTCTTTTTATTTTTTTGGTACCAGAGATTGAACCCGGGTCCTTGTGCTTGCGCAGCAGGTGGCAAAACCACTGAGCTAAATCCTCAGCCCATTTATCCTTTTCTAACTAAGAAAATATTTGTCACTCCCTTAGGTTTATGATTTTATTTTCTCCAATAATAGGAACTCTACAATCCAATCTATTTTTATTTTCCTTACTCCCAAGTTAAACATTAAACTGAGTATTACAACATTCACCATCTCTCTCTCTCTCTCTCTCTCTCTCTCCCTCCCTCCCTCCCTCTTTCTCTCTCCCCTCCTACACCCTCCCACAGCTTGGTACTGAAGATTGAACCCAGGGTTCCTCAGCCTCAGCCTCCAACACACCCGGGATTATAGTGGTGCACCACCGTGTCCATCCTTTTTTCATGTTCTTGTTAGAACTATTTTTTGCTTTATGTTAGTTAGTTTTCTCTCCTCTCCTCTCCTCCCCACCACTTTCATTTTTTTGAGAGTGTTTCTCACTGAGGTGCCCAGACTGGCCTCACACCAGCCATGCTCCTGCCTCAACCTCCAAGTAGCTGAGATTACAGGTTTGAACCACCGCACCCAACTTAGTTATCTTTTTCTGTATAACAAGCCACACTACAGAACAAACCAACTCTTGAGTCCACTTAGTGGATTGAAACAGCACATGTTTTCTCTTTCTGTCCATTCTGTAGCTGGCCTGGGTGTACTCTGCTGCGCTGGATGTGGCAGGTGGTCTCACTCACTGGCTTAGGTCTAGCTGGGGATATGGAACAACTAGGAAGGCTTCACTCTCTCTGTGTGTGGTCCCTTATCCTCCAGTCAGCCAGCCTAGACTTGTTCACATCCTGGCAGAAAGATTCCCAGGAGGAAAAGAGAGGGAAGCCCCCAATGTACAAGCATACTCTGAGTCTCTGGGTTTTTTGTGGGGTTTTTTTTGGGGGGTACTGGGGATCGAACTCAGGTCCTTGGGCTTGCACAGCAGGTGGCGAAACCACTGAGCTAAATCCCCAGCCCTGACTCTCTGTTTTTGTCAGTTTAACTAAGCATGCCACATGATCCAGTCCAAATTTGGAGGGTCAAAAAATAGACTCAACTTCTTTATGGAGGAACAGAAAATTCACATTTCAGTGGGATGTGTATACAGTGAGGCATAAAAAAGTGGGAAGTATAACTGCAGCAAACTGCCTTTGAGGGATTGGAACATGGGACAAGGCATATTTTTCCAGGCTCTGTGGTCTTTCTACTCCATTCTATACCCGTGATCAACAGCTGTCTGTAATAGACCTAATGACATCTCCTACACCAAGCACAAATCACCAAAGAACAGTTCAAAAGAGTACACAACAAAGAACTGGCCAATAGCTACACATACAATTGGACAAAGAGGTCCTTCCTTCTTCTTTGAGATGCAGATGCTCAATATTTGAAGATCCCTGATACATCTCAAAGTCAGTTTAATTTAATTTACAAGAGAATAAATCTTAATTTCTTCACCATCACAAGTCTTTTCTTACTTCTTTGCATAGAAGATGGAGAGCCCTTGTATTGCCCTTCTGTTAGCCCTTTGCCTGTTTTTTCTGCCACTTCTTACACTCTCCAATCTTTCCTGCACTATCTAATGCTGCCAGAATGAACTTTCTCCTCTGAAGAGAATAGAGTGAGCATCTGACAGGTAAATCTGGCAGACTGTGCACTCAAATTAGCCCCTTCCTATCCTCTCTCAGCTCAGTCTACCAAGAAAGAGTACGTATTCAGCTCTGTTCACAGCCACATAGCAAAAGTCCCATAAGTGTATGCTTGGTGGGCTTCTCAAGCTGAGTCAGTGATTTGAGGTGGCACAAGCCTACCCAAATCTTGGGTAAATGGTAGCACAGTTTTGGGCCTAAGTCAAAACCAACATGCCAATAAACTTTATCAATAATAAACAAGTGCCCAGGGGAGAGGAGGTGAGCCAATCCCAGCACCCAGGAGGAGGCTCCTGGGCTGCCATAGCACCGCTCCCAGAACAGAGGAGGTAAGCCATGCAGGCACCAGCAGCACCGTGCCCCCCCACCTTGAAATGAGAAGACACATAAACAAGCCTCAAAACCAGACTTCCAGATCACCTACAGCAACCCCAAAGGGAAATGAGATGGAATAATCTGATATTCAACCACCTGGACTCCCTGAACTGGCAACAAAAGAGGATCTGGAAAAAATGAAATCAGAAATAATTTCTCAGATAACAGC